TTTTTTGAAATATAGCAACTCTCATAACATGTTGATTGACAGTTACACACACTAAAAAATAATCTGGAAATATGAAAAGTAACAGTTAATAAATATTGGTTCATCACAGCAAATGAGTTTCATTGCTTTATATTTAAACTTAATTATAATGACATTGAATCCACTTAGACAGAGGAGAAAGAGAGATAAGTTTCGAAGACACATATTTAACTTTGACTTTTACACTGATTCTGAACTGCATATAAGGTTTCGTTTTTGGAGAGAAGATATAAATTTCAGAGAAAATATTGGAGAGGAACTGAAGCTAGGCACTAGCAGTTGTTCTCTCTGTTTGAAAGAACAAGTTGTCATTGTTTTACATTTCTATGCTTGTTAACTACATATCTCCAAGTTGTTGGTGGTACCAAAGTATCAATCATGCAAAATATGTTGTAGCAAGTTGATCCCTGACTGCACGACCATCTTGGGGTCCTTGATACTGCACCCCCATGTCACCATTGTCTGCAGGCACTTGTACATTGTCAGGAATGGGCTCTTTCAAGTTTATTGCAATGTTGGGGAGGACGGCGCATGCTCCAACTATGGTACTCACTCTAGCTGGGGCTATCCTGAATCCTATATTTAGGGAACCAAATCTATAATGAGAAAAAAAATAAATATATATTATTATTTCTATTATTAATTTACTTAAATAATTTGTGAGGATACAATTTTTTCATTAAAAACATGTTCATTCACAGTGTATGCACACATTATTGTTTATCACTCAGACATAAAGAAGTATTTGGTTATTGTTTTATTTCTTTTTTTTTGTGTTCATTTCTCTATCAACTTTGCTTGAAATATTTTTTGTTGCTTGCCTCTTTTTCCACATGCCAAACACTCGCTCTATGAGATTTTTTGTGCTCCTGTGGGCCTTATTAAACCTCCTTTGGGCTCTCCCTACAGGGTGAAGATATGGTGTCATTAAATATGGCCTGCAGGCATAACCACTATCGCCTAGGAGGACCCCATCCCCTGATTGCTGGTATTGATTTAGGTGACGCCCAACCGCTGATGTGGAAAAGATATGGGCATCATGGACACTACCAGGCCACTGGGCGACTATATTTGTAAATCTACCTGAAAAAAAAAAAAAAAAAAAAAAAAAAAAAAAAAAAAAAAGGAAATGAACATAGAGAATGCTTTTTTTAAGGGGAAGAGGAAAACAATAATTAAAACAATAATAATGGTGAAAGCATAACATTTGTGCAACATTTTCACTTTTTTCAAAAATTTTTCAAAAAAGTTTAATATTAAGTTTGCCTTTATGAGATGGAATATGATAAGGTGATGAAAATAAAATTAAATTAATATATTAGCATTCAATTTCATCATGTTAATCTTCATTTATATCAATACTTATTTATAACCAAAGTTTTAAAATGAGAATTAACTTTTAAATTTGCAAATATGTGGTTCTGCAATGTTTTTGTTATTCATAAAAAAAATGATTAAAGCAGATTGCATTAGTTGCACCTGCAAGTCACACTGAAGAAGCCAAGGTCATGGCCGCAAAAAATGGCCGACTTACAAAGTAGAACCACGAATGCTGCAGATGTTGGACGTGTTATTTACGGTGAGCTCTTAATATTTATGCTATGAATATGTAATAAAGATCAATACCTTTGTGGTCACATATAGCCTGAACATTCAAACTGTGGTAATTATTTCTGTTCACGAATGCAGGCTCATTCAACGTGGGCTCCGTTATCCTAATGTGAGTACCGACCAAACAGCCGATGACCCCAGGGAATCTGGGATCCTAAAAAACCCACGCCGGATCGTGGCCTTCTCCCTAGGATCTATTGGGAACTGAATAAATCGATCTTTTCTTCTGCACAGGGCCAATGACACTTTTATTACAACCCTGCCCACCGTGCCCTTGTCGACGCCGATAGTATCACCAACCACTTGGAGATATGAGCCACAGGCATAAAAACGCAAAGCAATATGAGAACTTGTTCTCTCACCGAGGGAGAACTGCTCTTGCCAGTCGCAGGCTGCATTTCCTCTTCCAATATTTTCATTATCAAATTAATACCTTCTCTGCCAAAACGAAATTTGGCACGCAGTTCAGAGTCACTATAGCAGCCAAAGTCAAATACTTCTCTCCGAAAATTCCTCTATCTCCTTTGTAAAGGTGGATTATACTGCTGAGTATTCCTGTGAAACCTCAGCAGTTACGCCATTTTTATCCACTGAATAACTATTTGAACGACCTCAGCAGATTTATCCACCGTATAAAGTTATACGGCTTTCATACAACCCAGCCTTGATCAATTGCAGGCAAATACTTATCCATTAAAATTGTTCTACTAAATATCCAGTGAACATTGGCATTTAAGATTTTTGTCATCGTCTTTTTGTGAAAAATTAAGAGTGAACGCACAGGACGGAGTCTTAAGTTGGACTGTGTTAAAATTTCCCCGGCTAACAAGGTAATGTGATCTCTATGAAAGCCCAGTATAATGATATAATAACTGTAAGACTGCGTTCCCATATGGGGTGTTCCCATAAACCTAACATACTAGATGTAGCTGGATCGATTTAACTCTGCAGGGATTCTTGAAAAATTGCATTTGGTTTAAGCGACTTCAATTCTGGTTAAAATAAGGGATGACTCACTATCGATAGTTACCCCTATACAGCTTGGGCGGATGTGCTTGACATTTTAACCACTTACACTAAATGCAACTCAGAAAAGCACTCATAAAATGTGTAACGGTAAAGAAATTATGAATGCAATATATATATATATATATATATATATATATATATATATATATATATATATATATATATATATATAGACCCAAAAAACTACCCACGGCTATTATGTGGCAAGCTTTCATGTGGGTTCAACAGCGCTCACACCTGTATCAGTCATTTTATACTGCTTCATTGAAAATGTATTTTTTAAAATTATGAACTTATATAACCGGAAGTCTTGTGCACTCCCATGACAAATGTTCAGTAAGTAGAGGGATTTCTTGCATTTTTTCTTTTCTACGGTCAGATATAACTTAAAATGATTTATGATCACAACAACTACATATTTTGGCTCTCGTCGCCCAAATGTGCCCATAAACTATAGCCTGGGTGCTGACTTACAAGACATCTCTTCGATTTAAGACTCAATAAATGGACAAGATTCTTAAACCAGTACGTGAGAGGTATAACAACGTTTACAAAATAAGTAATAAGTACAAATGACGTGAAAGTATAGTGGAGTTCCGGATGCGATGAGAGATTGGCAAATGTAATCCTAAAGGTCTATCGTGTAATTTATAAAACATTGGGAAGCAAAAGCGGAAATTTTATATACACACACTGGACAATAGAAGTGTCACCCCTTGAATCAGAGTAATCAAAGTTATTAACCTGAAGAGGCGGAATATAAGTAATGTCAGAATATCGATACACTTGAATTGTTCAGTCAGAACCATTTCTTTTGTGAAATTTGATGTTAATAAATGGATACCAGAAGCATATCATTCCACAGTCATTTATCTCCCCCAAAGTATCGGTTCAGTAGGGGTGACACTTCTATTGTCCAGTGTGTGTAGTATCTCACACAAGAAGATGATGCATGTAGCAGCAATTAAAATGATCGCGTTGATAAAATATTGACACCAACGTGGTGTTCAGGCGATGATATTTAACCAATTTTGATACCGTTTTACCTCCGTCCCGCTGTCGTTCTCTCCGCACTGTAAAAAATAATGTATGATCTTATTTTAACCTCTCAATATTAGATGCAGTGTAATTCTCACTAAAGAGAGCAGTTACTTTTGGAACGGTCGTACTGTGGCAAAACGAGTATAACAACAAATGAATTTCACAGTCAAATATTTCACTGATATAGTCAAATGTTGGTTGATTGTGAGAGAAAGAGAGACATTTAGCGATAAATTTCAACTGCTAAAGCAGAGACAAAATCCAAGTTGCTTTTCTAATCTGCCACTGGTCTTGTGGACCTTTCCCCGCGGAAGGTCAGACTGCTTCCTTCTTCTACATGCTGTTTATCCCTCACAAATGCCAAACATTCGACAGATGAAAATATCGTGAATATCCATCGTTTTACATGTACAAGACCCACAAAGTCGATCCGTTAGGTCTTCTCAAATGGAATGTTTAAACTTTTTCCACGTGAGTTCATGTGTGTGATACGTTGCAGGTTACTTCTGTTCACCTGAGATAGACGAACAAGCTGTCTCCCAGGACATTGGTAAACACTAAGAACTGCAACATAATTCCAGATACCCTGCTTCGCTTAATCCAAGCATTTAAACAAACAGCGTGCTACTAGACTTGGAGCAAGCATACTTATCAATGATTTTGTGATATTGTAGCTGTAAAACCAACGCCTAATACCATCAGCCGGGTCGTACATTTAAAGTTACAGCTGGGATTTAGTCAGCGCAAGAAAGAAGGTGGAAACAGAGAGTAAAAAACGAAGACAATGTAAACTAGATTAACCCCAAAAAAACAAACAAAAATAGCCGGCATAATAGGGGCCTACTCTACACCCGTAGCCTCATCCCTAGTTTCTTCTACTGAGTGAATATCAGTGGCGGATTTAGTGGTGGTGGTGGGTTGGGGGGGGGGGGGGAGGTGGGTGCAGGGGGCTCCCACCTTCGGTTTCTTAAAAAAAATCATTCCAATGGTCCCCTCTTGAAATAGAATTTTGACTAGCTGAATAATTGTTCTAAACAGTGCCAAATGGCACCGTTCGCCCTCTGGAATACAAAAACCTCACGTCAAGGCGGGCAGACCCCCCCCCTTTCAAATAGTCCTGGATCTGCCCCTGAATATTTTGCTTGAATACATTGAGCTATCAACTCACGATTAAACAAAAGAAGAACACATTCACGAAAACTGCTGTTGCTACAGTTGAGACAGGTCAACACATTTTTGTTATCCAATCACAACTCAGTTAAAAATAGCGGCATGTCGAGCAGTGTGGAATTTCCCAACAGTAGGCCTACGTAGCACCTTGGGATTTTCAACCTTATTTTTACAATGGCAATCAAAGTCATAGACACGTGAATCGAGGCAGGTTGTTGTTATTTACGATCTATAGTTGGTTGGATTTATATCGTGCACGGTCAAGAGTTAGAGGAGACGGAGTGAGACTGTCTAGCTATTTGGCCTTTGTCGTCACAAGTGTGGTGGAGATATATGTGGGTACCACGGCCACAGGTGAAATAAGATTTAGGACAAGAGGAAGGGAATCGAACACCGACAGGTATATATTGTGTCCTTTTTTCACATCGAGCTATGGGGGTGGTAGGGGGTGAGGGTGCAGTTTTCTGTACCTCCCCAGTTTAAGAGAGAGAGAGAGAGAGAGAGAGAGAGAGAGAGAGAGAGAGATCTAGGTGACATTGGGACGTGGTAGTATAGGATAGCCTGCTTTTTTATTCGGTATAAGATACTGTGAAGTAATATTGATTTTGGCAGATATGTTGTTTGGCTGACCTCAGAGAAGGAGATATCGTATCTGCCATCCTGTTAGATGACATGGGCCCCGTATCTCGAAGCATCGCGTATTGCGAATCACTATATCAAATAGAGGCTACAATGTATTATATGGGACGAGTATGGGCGAGTAATGGAATCGAGACGCTTGCGCACGTGCGCAACATAGCGAAGCTTTCGAAATACGGGGCCATGGTTTCTGATTATACATCTTTATATATATATATATATATATATATATATATATATATATATATATATATATATATATATAATTAACTGCTGACCTTATAAATATTGATACACTTTATCCACAAATGGTAATTAAAGAAATCGTTTGGAGGAAATATCAATACAGTTGGGTAATTAATCGAGTAGAAAGATGTGTGCGTGCGTGTGCGTATGGAGGTGGTGTAAGTTATTATATTTCACTGTCAACCCGAGCTGTATTTATTACACTATGTATGTATGAAGGCCAACCAAGGCGGGTCAGCCTTGGTTTGAATGTCATAAACCCACGTCACGCTTGAGAGGGGTTGATATACAAAGACGGGGATGAGGATACACTGTAAAATATATGGGTATTAAAACATAGGGCTATTATAAGCTACCAAACCTGTATACAGGTGTTTTATATAAACACATTTTAGATGAGCGAACTGTAGATAAAATTTTTAAAAAATCCCGAATGCATCCACCAAATGTAACGTTGTCGAAATATAGACCATTATGTTTATATCGGGGTTGACGCGCGCTAGTGTGTGTGTGTGTGTGTGTGTGTGTGTGTGTGTGTGCGTGTGAGTGTGTGTGCGTTGACACAGGCAAAGAATAGCGGTACGTGTAGTAGTGTCCAGGCACCGTGACAGGTAATGACCTACCCAAGGTGAACGTGAGATGTGTTCATACCTGTATGCTGTAAAAGATAACGGATCACTCTAGTTATTTTTGGTGGGTTGTGTGGCAGAAGGTTTGACGTTCAACATTCAGTATGAGTACCAGAAGATTAGGGGTCCACATCAAAGGAATTCAGTGTTTTCAGAAAGTGAATTTTTGCACATCTTGGGACTTATTCTGTTTATTTACAAGCCATTAGCTGTGACAATTTATTTGGTTTTCTTATAATAATATATAGGGGTCAACAGATTTCAACCAAATTCATAATATAGTTGCACACATAGGAGATATTCACATTGAAGGCAACAATCCCAAAAGAAATAATTGGATATAATTATAATATAATATTAAATGTTTTGGCAATTTTGGGCTTGATTTTCAGCTTCGGTCAATAAAGCCACTTCATAAGCAAATATGTCACAACTGATGACTTTTTAAAATAAATTGATAATTTACCTATTTAAACCAGCCATTTGCCATTGAGAATATGTTACTTAATTTCAGTTTAACCCACAAACTAACGAGCCACGACCATTTTTATAACCCAACCCCCCAAACTTACTTTTCTACCAAGCAATGTTCAAGCATTCATATCTCTCTTTTTGCAGGGTTGACAGCCATAAAATTGTATAGGGATCCTGAGCATATATTGGTCTCATCATACAAAATTTAAAAAGTGTGTTAAACACAACAGAAGATGTTGAAAATGTGCCTCAAACTTTAGCAATTTTACCAGAAAAGCAAACGACCGAAATCAAGATATCAGTACATTTTGAGATAATACCTTCCAATAATCAAATTTAATCAAGGACTCACAGCCAGGAATTCTAACAATGCTTTGATAAGGACAAATCTATCCAATTTTTATAAATACAAGATGGCTGCCACCAATTCTGTCCCAAAATACAGTTACCGTAATTCCTCAAAATAATCAAGAGGCCCATTTTTGCAGTTTTTTTTTTTTTTTTTTTTTTTTTTTTTTTTTTTTTTTTTTTTTTTTTATTTTGAGATCTGTAATACAGGATTGCTCGGATAATATTATTTTCAAACAGAGCCATACAACTTCTGAATAAATTAAAATGATTAGTGACAAGTTATTCAACCCCCCACCCCCACCCCACATTTAATGAGTTATTACTGTGCATATCCAATGTCATCAGCATTGCGCATGTATCTTATTTTCAGGGAGCAAGAGAGAAAAATTTTAAAACAAGGCAGCAAAGCTGTAAAATGTACAGACAAAAAGCTGAAAATAACAATGCACAAAATAGGCTACTGCCAATTCTGATGAAAAAGGACATTATGCTTAACTGCAAATTCAATATCAAATTTTATTTATGCTCAACAGGTAATACCAATGAAAGTAAAATGTGTAACAAGTGTAACAAGCATAAGGCTTCAGGCCCATGAGAGTTCACACTTTGAAAGTGCCAGAAAGAGAAAAATGAAAATTTTACACAAAATTGCATAAGTTCAATAATAAATAATAACCTAATTGAGCTGGCTTTCTAATTTGAACTGCATGCCAATCCTAAAAATCATACTTGTAAGTTAAAAATAATAATAATAAGTAACACAGTTTTCTTTTCAAAATGTTTGTAGTAGCAGTGCATTTTTTTTTTTCAATTTTGATGTATCATTACAAAATAAATTACAGAATAATTATCACCAATTTTTTATTATTGACTATAAATAGCATGGACATGTAGAAAATTTAGTTACCATATGGCTTTATGTCCATGGGAGCTCTGAGTCCCACAATGAATATGCCAACACGATAAAAATGAATATTTCACTAAAATGTATAACTTCAAGAAAAAGAAGCCAATTAGACTGCTATTTCAACTCAGGCTGCATTTTAGTCCTGTGTTTCTTTTTTGAAAGTTTGACAATCATAAGTAACATGGTTTTCCCATAACGGTCATTATGGCAGCAGCTCCCAAAATTGTGTTTTCTTCTATTTTGATGCAATATTACATAATGCTTAACAACAAAATGACCATCAATTTTTGATAATAAAATATACATACGTATCATGGATTTTCCGAAAATGTGACTCGCATGGATCTTCAACCCTGTGGTGGTTCTAAGTCACACCTTGAAAATGCCAATGTGTGAAAAAGTCGATTTTGGCCCCATGTTTCTTTCCTGTAAGTTTGAGAACAGTAAGTGACATGGTTTTCCTTAAATGGTCATCATGGGAGTAGTGCCCAAAATAGGGGTTTCTTCAAATTGTGATGCAATATTGCATAATGTTTAACATCATAATGACCATCAATTTTTAATTATAAAATATTAGTATCATGGACAATCAGAAAACATGACTAGCAAATGGAACTTCAAAGTCACACCTTGAAAATGCCAGAATAAGAAAAATGAAAATTTCACACAAAATTGCATAAATTCAATAATAAATGATAACCCAATTGAGCTGGCTTTTTAATTTGAACTGCATGCCAATCCTAAAAAACATACTTGTAAGTTAAAAATACTAATAAATAACACAGTTTTCTTTTTATAATGTTTGTAGTAGCAGTAAAAACAGATTTTTGTCAATTTTGATGTAACATTGCATAATAAAATACAGAATAATGATCACCAATTTTTAATTATTGACTATAAGTAGCATAGACATATAGAACATTTGATAACCATGCGGTTTCATGTCCATGGGAGCTCTGAGTCCCACAATGTATATGTCAATACCATAGTAATGGATATTTCACTAAAATGTATAACTTCCAGAAAAAGAAACCAATTAGACTGTTTTTCCAACTCAGGCTGCATTTTAGTCCTGTGTTTCTTTTTTGAAAGTTTGACAATCATAAGTAACATGGTTTTCCCATAATGGTCCTCATGGCAGCAGCTCCCAAAATTGTGTTTTCTTCTATTTTGATGCAATATTACATAATGCTTAACAGCATAATGACCATCAATTTTTGATAATAAAATATACGTATCATGGATTTTCAGAAAATGTGACTCGCATGGGTCTTCAACCCTGTGGTGGTTCTAAGTCACACCTTGAAAATGCCAATGTGTGAAAAAGTCGATTTTGGCCCCATGTTTCTTTCCTGTAAGTTTGAGAACATTAAGTGACATGTTTTTCCTTAAATGGACAATATGGAAGCAGTGCCCAAAATAGGGGTTTCTTCAAATTTTGATGCAACATTACATAATGTTTAACAGCATAATGACCATCAATTTTTAATAATGAAATATTAGTATCATGGACAAACAGAAAACATGACTAACAAATGTTTTTAGGCCCATGGAACTTCAAAGTGACACCTTAAAAATGCCAAAATGTAAGCACCGTTCTGAAATGGGTTTATTTCTATTTTAACACTTTTTTAACATAAAACAAAATTAACATTTTTTACGGCACTTTTTATAGATCAACTAAGAAAATTAATGAGATGTGAAAAATATCAATAAAACAGTGTTAAATGTCTAATTTCTTCCATTCTGAGATTCTGAACATACTGAATGATTGAATCTGACAAAATGCAATGATATGAGTTTATTTCCATTTTTGACACTTTATTACACAATACACGATAACAAATTTACCATCATTTTTACATAATCAACTAACAATGTTGTAAAGATGCAGGAAATGTCACACAAACACTTTCATGTATCTTATTAGTCAAATAATAAGACTGTTAACATGCCTAAGAATTGATTTTGAGGAAATGTGAAAAAACAGCATAACTTCTAAAATAATGACCCGATCATGCCGATTTTCGAACTTGACCTGCGTTTTAGTAAGATTGATTACTCCTGTGCGTTTCATGCAACAGGCCTATCGGTTTTCCTTGAAATGTGTTTACAGTGTTGTATATATGCTGAAAAGTGAAAAAACAGCATAACTTCTACAATAATGGCCGGATCATGCTGATTTTCGAACTTGACCTGCGTTTTATGAATATTCATCAGCTCTGTAAATATAAAGCCAAAAAGTAAAACTGTCTTCCACTTATCTTTTTAATAACTAAAAAATGATATATTTTGGCAAAATTGCGGATAAAAGACCTTCCCCCATATCTCTAAAACTAATGATCCAAAATAAGAAAGACAGTGGCTCACAATATCTTTCATGTTGGTGGTTTACCACACCAAAAATTATTAAAATCTGCTGACCCCCACCTTGCCGCCTTCTGACCCATCTGTCTGGCTTTCTCATGGACGCGCTCTTAAATGTTTTTTTTTTTTTTTTTTTTACGTATTTTTGTTTTATTAATATATTATCTTTTGCAGACGTGTTTTGAGTGTAAGCCTTGTGTTACAGCGGTGTGTGTGTGCGTACTGTGCGTGTCTGTATGTGTGTGTGCGTGCGTGAGCGTGTAGACATGTATGTGTTTGCGTGTGCGTGTGTGTGTGTGTGTCTGTATTTTTTGCATGGATACCTTACCAATTGGGCCATACTAAGACATCATAACATTGGCTATCATATTTATGCTGATGACACACAGATTTTTACTTGTTGCAATCTAGAAAATCCAAATGAATCTATTGATATATTGTCTGAATGTATTGATGATCTTCGCGGGTGGCTGATTAGTAATAAGTTGAAAATTATCGATGGAAAGTCTGAACTTTTGGTAATAAGTCAGCCACATAATCGTATGATAGCACAACAAATTCAGCTCAAAATTGGATCAAGCATTATTAAGCCAACACCTCATGCAAAAAATTTTGGTGTATTTTTAGATGGGTCACTTTGTATGAACAAACATATTGCCAGTGTATGCAGGTCAGCGGTTTTTAACATTAGGAACATAAGTGCAATTCGCAATCAGTTGTCTGACTCTGCTGCAGCCACAGTTATAAATTGTTTAGTTAGTTTAGTCTCGATTTGATTCCTGCAACTCCATTTTATACGGTTGTCCAAAGAAACCAATTGCTAGACTGCAGCGCATTCAAAATATTTCGGCCAGATTATTAACTCGGACATCCACAAGCATACACATCTCCCCAGTTTTAAAAAGTTTACACAGGCTACCTCTACAAGCCAGAATTTTATTCAGATTTTTAGTTTTTACTCACGATGCTTTTTATGGATTGGCACCAATCTACATCAATGAATTAGTCAGTCACTATGTTCCAATGCGTAATCTGCGGTCTGTAGACCAATTGCTACTCAACCCAGTAAAAATGCGATAAAAAACCTACGGTGATATATCTTTTAAAAGCTGCAGGTCCAAAGGAATGGAATTTATTACCGCTGGAAATCCGAGCAATTCAGTCTACCAAACATTTTAAAAAAGAACTCAAAACATACCTTTTTAGGAAATATTTTGATTAACTCTTAATTGGTTTTATAAAACTTGTATTAATTGCATTTAATTGTATGGGCTAATGGCTGTTTTACCTAGATTTTATTTATGATATTTTATGTAGTATTATTTATGATATTTTATGTAAAGTCTACTAGTTTTTTAGACTTAAAATAAATTTATTATTATTATTATTATTATTATTATTATTATTATTATTATTATTATTATGTGACAAGGAGTATCCTACTCGAATAAACACATTTGTTACTGTTTGTACACTATGTTCAACATTACCATATCCAGGGACAGAAAAAGTTCATGGTTATATTTTTCCAGCTAGCTAAATACGTCATCCATCCTACAGGTCAGGACATAAAGCTGCTTACAGCATTCTTCTTAGATGCCAGGATTGTGCTAGAGGACCATATGCTGTTACCCGGACATGGCGACCGGAGGGGCAAGACCGAAAACAAATTCCATTTGGGGGAATGCTCTTAGGTGGTTTACTGGAATACAAAATGAAGGTATACATGATAAGTGATTCATCTGTTCACCCTCTTATTGATTTCATCACCTACGTATTAATTTTTCTAGATTAATGAAGTACGTGATAGCTATTTTTGTCATTTGTTTTATCCAATTATAATAATAATTTAATTCGTCAGTCACCAATTTTTGTATTTTTTTATTCCATCACCTCAGGGAGTGCATTCAATTATCGTCTTTTTTTCGTATCCATCTTTTTAATTATTTTGCTACGTGGTGACTTTTTGTCCTTCTACAGTGACGGAAAGGCAGGATCGCAGATATGGGAGGGAACACAGAGCAAACGGCGGTACGTACGTTAAAGACTCGTTTAATAAAACACAACAAATGTTAAATGGACCTAAATGCTGATAATAAGTGTTGCCTTTCTTGTCTTTTTTTTCCATCATCTATATTATTTTGTTTTATTTATTTATTTATTTATTTATTTATTTATTTATTTATCATTATTATTATTATTATATTTATTTATTTATTTATATAATTTTTTGTTTGTTTTGGTATGAAAAATAAACAACCACTAGTTTTATTAACTAAGGCAATTCGAATTAAGGAATAATGCCGAACCTTAGATATAGCTTTTTTGTTGTCTTTTTTTCGACAGATTACACTGCTCAGGATTTCCTCGGTGCCTCAACGTCTAGCTATGATCTTCTTGGAGGTTTACCAGATACGCTATCTAGTCAGTTAAACATTTCAAGACGCAAGAAATCCAAATACGAAAAATTCACCGAATCCCTGTCAAATCCATCCCAAAGTGCTTGCTTTACAATGGGCGTGAGTGCCGAGATTTTCTGCGCCGTCACGGAGCTGGTTCAGGGAACGTGGCAAAGCAAGAAAACAGGGCGTGGGCGAGACACGCGAAACCTTGAGCACACCTTTATTGTGGTAAAGAGAGTCGAGGCCATCAAAAACGAAGGTTTACTAGAGCGTTATAAACTTACCAAGCGGCAGCACCGCTTACGTCAAACACAGGGCCGCTTAAAACCTTATTATTACGTGGATCCCACAATGAAAAAGCCCATGACTGTCGAGACCGAATCCCCTGTATTAGATACACTAAATGAGGACATCAATGAACAGTACCTGTTTCACGGAACAAAGAGTGCAAATATCCCATCTATTTGTGCTATGGGGCCAGATTTCAGGATTGCTCGCAAAGGAATGTTTGGTCGAGCAATTTATTTGTCAGAGAGCGCCACCAAAGCGGATCAGTACGCAGGTACGTCTAGGTGGGCATGGAGTACGCTTTCGTATGAATATGCGTACTACTGCTCGTGTTAGTTTTCTCATTGTCACGTTTCTTATTTCTGTTGTCGTGATAATTTCTTTTTAGGAAGAGACAATGTGCACATGTACCCTTTTTTTTTCCTCTAGAAGTCTTTCAGAAAAACTAAAATTTAAATTATTCATATGTTTATATGCCATCGGATTACCACAATTAAATTTAATCGAATTATTCTTATTCCAGACGAGATGGACAGTAGACGAACGGAGGACCTCCAAATCCTGATTTGCCGCGTTCTTCTCGGCAATGCCTACTACTGCGAGGAACAACAGACATTAAGGAGACCGCCGTGCGTCTGTGGGGAGAAGATTTGCCGTGACCATCACGAGACCTTCGACTCCGTGATAGGTGATACCAGGAAGTTATTCCGGGAATTCCTCCTATTCACGGCGGACCAGTGTTACCCGGAATACATCGTGACCTATGACCGCATTGACCAATTCCAGGCTAGAGGTAAGTTTAATCGAACAGCCAATCATGTTATCATCCAAAGAGTACTTGTTTCATCAAAAAATAATATAAATCGTACTGTTAACGTATCCATGAATTTTAGTGTGCACATCGTTCAAATGCCAAACGAGAGACCTGTCAAAGTAATGGCAAGCAATAGAGCAATTCACGGATACTAACTCGACTTTATATGTTGATTTTAGCCGTGCCTCAACTACCGGTGACGTCACTATGTCTGAGAGCTGCCGATCCTGCTCTGTTCATGGAGGAAGCTTACAAGGACGATGTGTGTATAAACCTCTCTCTCTCTCTTTCTGTCTCTCTCTGATTTTTCTCCTTCCCTCCGTCTCTTTGCATTTAGTCTCTGTCCCTACATGTCGCTACGTACCTGTCCTATTGCTTTAAATGGTTCAGCATTTAACTGTTTTCCAGGTAAATGAGATTGTTGTTAAGGGTGCGGATAGGTAAATACCACTGTTAGAAAGACTCATATTTTTCCTTCTACTTTCAGGTCTACCAAAACTGTGGCCTGCCCCGTGGACGCGCTGTCATCGTCAACAACATCAATTTCCAGCACCATGAGAAGAGAGACGGGTCAGAAATGGACTGCAAGGCGCTGGTAGAGCTGATGGAACAGATGAGTTATACCGTTATTGTGCATAATGACCTGACCGCACAGGTGAGCAGGTGCGCACGTGTGTGTGTGTGTGTGCGTACGTTTTATTGTCAGTGTGTTTGTGTGTGTGTGCGTGTCTGTGTTTGTTCATGTGCATGTATGTGCGTGCGGGTTTATTTGTTCGTTTATTTGTATATATATATATATATGAATTGGTAAAACAGTTATATATCGTATTATTAAAACCTTTGCAGTCAGTGTATCATAATTTATAATCTGTACATTTTGAATGTTATGATTTTAGGGAATCTTTGATGTGATGGAAACTGAGAGCAAACAACCTAGCCACTGGACTAGTGATTCATTCATCGTGTTCATTCTGAGTCACGGTATGAGTAACGCAGTATATGGGACAGATGGCTACAGCTTGCCCTACAGTATGATGTATATGCACTTTACCACCGACAGCTGCCCCGCCCTGGCGGGAAAACCAAAAATGTTTTTTATTCAGGCTTGCCAAGGAAGTAAGTAAAAAAACATTAAAGGTACATACGAACCGAGCATCGGTGGAGCGTGGGTTCCCAGTAACACATGTAAACCACTTCTACTAGATTCTTATATGACTCAAATTAATTCGACATGCCAAGGGATAAACTGAATTGATCACTCGATCAGCCATAAAAGACCTTTAGACTGCTCCTTTCTTTACATTTTTGGTTGTAAATTTAACCTATTTCCGTGACCTACGTTCCTGCCCCATTGACATACAGCTTAGAATGCCAGCAGAAAAATCCGTTCAAACATCATTTTCGGGTAAAAATAAACAATGGCTTTTGGTAATTCTCTTAGTTATACTACTTGAAACTATATACTGGCATTTGGTTGGTTTTTGTGACAAAAAATTTGACTTTGTATGCATCGTTAAATAGCTATGGTGTGTGCATTTTCAGAGTAGTTATAATTATTTGTAAAACGTTTTTCTTGGAACGAAATTAGTTGTTGATTGACGTTAAGAATACAAGTTTGTTGTCAAGCAACATATATATTAAATTAGAAAAATAGTGCATAAAACAGACCGATTTGGTTAAAATATTACATTTCGGTGATAAATGGATGACTTTACATTTGAAACCAAAAACTGTATTTCATCCAGCAAAGAAAGACAGTAGAGTCGCGGGAGAATCCGTCCCTCTAACAATGAGACAAGATGGCGGCCAGTCTGATTCTGCGCGGGCGCGTTGCAATGAAAGCGAGTCCAAATTTGGTGCTAACATGTGTGACATCGCCGTTGCCACGGCAACCACTCCAGGTGGGCAAATACTAAGATATAGAAAACAAAACACACTGTACCAGCCGGGGATTTCATACACAAATAATATGTTACTTTATTCAACAATGTTTGACGTAATAAAAAAAATGAATTAAGGCGCTTATGTTGCTGTTTAATGCCTTGTTAGTTTCCCCCACATCTTGACAGATATTAATTTTTGTATCATTTTTATTTTATTTTGAATCAATGCACAATATAATATATCCTTTGACTCCATTCAATTCAATCGTGTTCGTCAATTATACATCCCTTCATTTCAGACTACGTGTCCTGGAGAAATAAGGAGAACGGGTCCTGGTTCATCAACGCCATTGTCAGAGTGTTCAGTGAGGAGGCGAGGAGTAAACACTTCCTGGAGCTTCTCACCTCGGTAGGTGAGGCAGAAATGTTGGACTTACTGGCTTGTTCGATATTATTGGGAATTCACTGCACGTTTCAGGGCTTCATTCACTCTGTTATGGTTTCATTCCAATAGTAATTTCTTCAATCATTTGATAAAGCGAGAGTTACTGAATATTGGATAGTGGATAGTAGTAATTAATTTTATTCTTGAGTGTCGTTATACTTTGAAAAATTCATTATGGAGTTTTACTGTAATTTCAAGAAATCATTTTTGTACCGTTGCAGTTCAAATTGTTTTTTTCCACCTTTTGGTCCAATATTAGAGTGATATTATCTTAAACTCATCACTGTATTACTGCTATTGTTATGGTAACGTGTATCTGGTATTTTATATCACATTTCACCTCTTTGTGGTATTTCAGGTGAACAGCTGGGTTGCCAGTATGAAGACCCAAGGTCAAGGTCAGTACCAGCAGGTGTCCAGCATGGAAACCATGTCCTTCACCAAACGGTTTTACTTCTGGCCCCGCCTCTGTATAGTAAATGGTGAGCTCCAGGAGTTGGACTAGATGTGTGACGTCATGAGATGGCTTGATATATATATATTCCCTTTTGTTTTGTTTAGTTTTATCACCACAACATTACTGATAAGGGGCTGTAAGTATCGACAAATGTCTGATTAAAGATAAATATATAAATAAAGAGAGAGTAGTGTGCGCTAACAAAGTACTTGTCCAACATTATATTAGGCGCTCGTGTTATTTACAACAAGCTAGGCGTCTTTCACGGGTGTTGCAGTGTATTTCTGGTCCTGGTTTCCTGTTATTTTTTTAATTAACTTGAAAACCAAATTGACCATTTGTTTAACGTTGATTGAATACATGTGCAATAGGTATTTAATGACTTGTCATGCTGCGTGCCTTGCTGTCAAATACAGTAATATAACGGGATTCGATATTTATATGCTACAAGTAGTTTTTTGCCACAATATTTATGTTATTTGCTCAATATATGTACTTTTCAAGGGAAATTGCAGCAACGTGTTTTAGGGTCTAATTTGTTGTAGGGAGTGTTAGATGTGAAAGTTACTATTTACATGTTTATTCAGATTCCTTGCCTCGTTCATGTGCTGTGAGGATTATATTAAACTATGGATGTAGAGCTAAACACTGCTACTAAGAATGTGCGCCATTTTCTTAAGAATATTTACTTTTAAATAATAATCTGCTGCTGAAGAAACAGTGACAATGTTGGGGTATTTTTATTTTCTTGTTCCCAGTTCACTTGGAAAATGAATATACCATTTGAAAAAACGAAATGAATTTAAAAACTAGTGTTGCGATACTAATTAAGTGTTGTGAAATCATCGTTAATGCATATCAAGATTACGTACAACTCATGATCAGTAAAACAGCGAGAATATCAAATTAGACGCCAGGCGTGATGAAGTCAGATTTATGCGCATCAGCTGGATTGTGTCATTTGTTGCTTTTGAATATGATTCCAGTTTTAATACGAGGTCAACTACAGGTATATTGGTGCACGTATTTAGTGTTATAATTGATAAAAAATGGCATTTAGAGTAAATATTGGTCGCTTCCCTCTTTGCAAAGAAGGATGATATATAAACAGGTGCCTAAAATAGCGATACCACGGATACACACACACACTCACACACACACACACACACTCGCACATGCACACACACACACTGACAGTCAATGAAAACGCATCATTTATTTATTGAATAATATTTTAAGTCCCTTTGGAAAATTAAGAAAATAACAGTTTTTGTGTGAAATAAGACCCATTATTCAGTAAAACAAGGTGACTCTCTTATGACCAAACAAGTGCATTTGTACTCGTTATACGGTTGGAATCGATTCTCGGTAAAGAGAAAAAATACAAGAAATTTTCTGATGCGTTTTCATTGACTGTCAGTATATATATATATATATATATATATATATATATATATATATATATATATATATAAACTTAGTTATAAGATGTTCATGTAATTATATTATTGGTTATCGATTTTTGTCAACGTTGGTTTTAACATATATGCTTTAATTGCATATTTTTCTAGGCTTTACGATGGGGGTAATTCTGTAAAAATTGAATAAAATGCTTTATAAAAGGGCATTCTTTCTTTCTTTCTTTATTTATTTATTTATTTTTTTTTTTTTTTTGTGTCTGTGAAATATATTTATTTTTACTTTTTACCTAAAAAACTAATCTGTGTATAGAGATTAAACAGTGTTTTCTCTGTCGATTTAACTCTACAAGTTATACGATCAGTTCAGTGAAACTGCAAGTAAATATATTTTATATAAAATGCACATAAAGTAATGGACACTGAAGCAATCTGTGCAACGTTTTATTAGACACTCTAAACATTAAGTAAAGCAGTATAGACTGGAAGTATACTCTATCATAATTGATTACTAGCCAGAATAATAATAATAATAATAATAATAATAATAATAATAATAATAATAATGCAAAGGAAATAAAAAAAATACTATCCGAAATTTTTGAAATCTAGATTGAAAAGTTTAACGCATTAGAATAAATGCTACAATAATTTGTGTTTTCCCGAGCAAGCAACTACAATCACACTCTTTTCTACTCTTGAAGCCACTGGCAAACATACATTTTAGTCTCTAATTCTTATTGTTACCCGATTGCAAATCACTCTGTGTACAGAAATTACAAACATAAAATGTTGATATTAGGACCTACTGTGATATCTGTTTTGTGCAATGTCACATACGTATACAAAATCATAATCCAATTGCGATTAAGTTTGGGTGTTCAAATCACTGTGTTTTCTTTCAATTAAAAAGCAGGTTTATGGTCCATCAAGCTATTAATTTCAAGTGTTTTTCATTCTATCGGTGGATATAAACCTTTTCAAAATGAAATATATATTTACGTTTACAAAGCCAGTGACAACGTAGCACAACTAATGCAATGAATTTCAAATTTCATCGGTTCTCACTGGAATGTAATCAGCATTGGATGATCTGCGCTTGCGCATTACGATCACTGCTGCTATGACAACAACGCATGCGCTGACAGCCATGACGCCGGCTCCAAGTGTAGTCGAGGCCGGTGCCTGGGCAACTTCTTCGCTGTCCTCCTGATTCTTCCTTTCGTCTTTTACGGCAAACTCTGGGAAAACAAAGACGGGGTATTTAAACACATTCGATACCCTAGTCATTGGTAGTTGCAGCATTCGGTTACGAGAGAAAAGGGATACAACATCTGCCTCTAATTGCTAGAGGAATACAAAATAAGACCAAAAAGGGGTCATATTATTATGATGAGGGCCGGGTGGAAAATGGCTTCATTAGTCTGCTTTGTTACGGTCATCAAATTCATTTTTAGGGCGGCAGAGAGGTGCGGATATGAATCAATTAATTCCAAAAACGCGTTTGGTACGTTTAGTTCAAACAATGAGAAAAACCTTCCCTTTAAATTCAATTTATATATATATAACTTGCCTGCTACGGGGTTCTCTTTCTGGACGAACACGGGTCCCTGCACCAGGCTGTACACCTCTACGTCACCAGGTACCGCTCTCTTCCCCCTGCCGCCATTTTGTGGACAGGCGTACCCTTCACTGGGCCGCAGACACCTACTGTCCCGGTCAGTGGCGTTACACACGATGACGTCACAATGGAGGTACACCTCTGGATCGTTGAAGAACTCAAAGGCCTTGACAGCGAACTGCGCATGCGTGTCGTTAGAGGGATAGAAGCGTACCGTAGGGTCGTCTGGGCATCTTGAAATATACAATCATGGGCTTATTTAATTTTGCTGGATGTAAACGTTTGACCGATAAATCGGGTAATCACGTTGTGTACCGGTAAATAAGTAGGGGCCTTCTTAAATGTTCTTTAGCTTGAATTCACCACCATAGTACTGTTGCAACACACTGTAAAACATGTACACGTGATTTTAGCAAGTATTTTTTTTGGTTCTTGCATTAAGCTTAGAAATTTACAGACAACGCTTTCAGTACATACAAACCCTGCAATTGTTACTGTGAGATCACCATACTCACTTGTTGCTAATGAGGGCGTATTGTGGATAACCCTTCGTAGCCTTCGGCGTCGCCACGCAGTTCTGTAGGACCACCTTAAGATTAACGTCCAGTGTCAGTAAAGCCACCTCCACATACATGTCCTGGTTAAGTCTGACCACGTGGGGATAACTGGTCACGGGGGAGGTGAAGTAATCGGAATGGTACAGGTCCATTCTCAGGGTGAAATTGCCATTAGCGACATACGCTCGGTTGCCATACACTGTACCCTGTATTAACAACAAAGGTGAGCCATTTTATAAGTTTGTACAGGCGAATTCAAAAATCAATCAAATGCGCCATAATGTTGATCTGTTACTCTGCATCGATATGACTCGCTATTGTATTGCAAATTGTATAAGGGACTGACACAACTGACCTTGCTTTGATTTAGTAAGTCTGATAACACCACTGATACTAACAACACACGCGTACAAATACCAGGTAGAGCAAGTCATTCATTTATTCCCCGTGTGTTACACAAAGTGAAAACAAAACCAAAATTATCTCACCTCAGCGACGAATTCCTCTCCTACGTCACCATATCTCGGCAGCACACACTCCACCGTGTACCTGTGGTGCAGCTCGCGGTTGATGAGGGAGTTACTGTACGGACGGAGTACGAGGGCGTTTCTGTAGATGAACGTATCCCTGGTTTCCTTCACAAACGGAACATAATTGTGATTTAATATATGTTATTATCATTTTGCATTTAGGACATACTGCTAACGTCAGCGGAGGCTGATATTGAGACAATATTACTAACGAAGATTACGCGCGGATAATATACTGAAACATCCACAATTTTGTTAACCCCATGGTAATAGAATCGTGCGTTCTAGTATAAGTTAATTTAAATGAAAAGTATGGTGATTTATTAATTTTTTTCATATTGTTGTTACTAATTTCGACCAATATCAATTACCAGTCTGCGGGTTCCACACATTTGAGTGGCAAGGGGCACATGGAATATTACGTTGCCGCCAAGGTATTGGTCAGGAACACAGTTGATGTCATCCAAGGTCAAAGTCATTGGACCAAGACGAGACTGGATGTTATTTACGTCCACCGCCACAGTCATACCGTTTGTCGAGTCACAATTCACGGAAATGTTAAGGTTCACTGAAACAGCAGTACCACTGTTAAATGTGGGAAATTTAAGTTACATGTTGTATTACAACTTTTGTACTGTAACGACGATTCTAAATTTGGTTAAACCCAAGTCCATCTATACATAGATGACCACACTTGGTCATTTCAGTCTTTAAAATAGCTTGGTCGCTTGAGGGTTAAATGCTTTCATCTGTTCGGTAAATACTAGTAAATATTGAAAACGTCCATTGTTAGCTTTTTTTTTCAATAATGTCTTGGACATTGACATTTAACACATATACTTTTTATGGGTAAGGTGGGGGAAATACACTTTATCAAGAAAGTATTCCTTTATTGATGTTCCATGTATCCATGTTCTTTTATTCTTACCTGGCGGTGCAGCAGTAGCCTCTAAAAAGAAAATAATTTAAATCAGGTAAGGCATTTGTATCTGCAAGTTGAAGAAATCGTTGATAAAGAAATAAGCAATTAATAATACAATTCATTCCAATATGTCTATATGGAACTTTGTGCTAACCTCCCTTAAAACAACTGCGCTAAAACAATACTTCCCCAAACAGACCGACATGTACCGACTTCCGTAAGCGCGAGGTAGATCATATTACAGTTAAGGGCTACTTTACACCCCCCCCCCCCCCTACAACGGGTTTGATATTTCACGCCGACGTAATTGGCAGTCAGAAAGATGAAGCTTAAATACCGACTTCCGTAAGCGCGAAATGACATCACACATTAACAAAGTATGTAAAACAGCATATTTTAGTCTCCAACGGATATCCAAGATCTTTCACCTTATTAACACCAAGCAAACTGAATTACTCATCCATGCATTTGTAACCTCAAGACTGGATTATTGCAATAGCCTATTGTTTGGAATACCTAACTATCAAATGGAAAAGCTACAATCAATTCAGAACTCTGCTGCTCGTCTCCTCTGTAAAGCTCAGAAGTCCGACCACATCACACCAATTCTGCGAAACCTCCACTGGCTACCCGTGTCTCAACGAATAGTTTTTAAAATATTACTTTTAACTTTTAATATTTTAAAGGGCGACTGTCCATTTTACTTAAACTCTACCATAGAACTTTTAACTCCTATCAGATCACTTCGATCTAGTGGACAACTTCAACTTAAGCGAAAAGACATCAAAAAGACTCTTAAAACATATGGACAAAGAAGTTTCGAGATTTGTGCACCGATTTTATGGTCTAATTTTATCACCAGATCTAATGTGTCTCTGGATGACTCATATTACTGTTTTAAGAAGAATTTAAAAACTTTTTTTATTTGAAGAATACTTTATTTTATAGCATCTTTTTAGTTTTTAAAATTTTTAAGTATTCTGTTTTTAGTCTATGCTAGCTTTAATTTATCTGTGGAGTTTTTATTTTTTATGTAAACAACGCTGAGACGCATGTGTAGCGCGGTTTTAAGAAGTGTTTTATTATCATTATTATTATTATTATTATTATTATTATTATTATTATTATTATTTCACGCGCTATCGGTACAAGACTGGCTCTCTTTCCAGCAATGTATGTACGATATATTTAGGTGAAAGGTACGATAAAGTTTTGAGAGCTCCTGCAACGCGGGGGACGCACTAGTCTGCTGTCAATTCAGATATGAGTACCCATACTTTTCATTCGTTGGGAATATAGTATATAAACGTTAAATAGGGGTTAAAAGGTCAATTTTCGTGCTAATCTATAAAAAAGCTACTCACGTGCACAAGCATCCGTGGCTAACTGTGTCTCTATATTTGACAGGGCACTGAAGTCTGTTACAGTAAACACGAATTTGCTATCCGGGTCGGTGGCCATGGCCTCCAGCTCGGCAGTATTAGCATTACTCCCAACTCCAATTGCAAACACAGACGCAATATTACGCAGCTTATTCGCTTCTCTGGCGGTTGCCGCCATGTCATTAGATCTACCGTCGGTCATGACGATTACGAGGTTCGGTACGTTTGGCCGATCGCCTTTGGCAGCCGTGAAACTGCTGGTGCGGGCGGTGGAGAGAGCTAGGGCTGTGTTAGTTAAACCACTCTTCTGCCTGATCCTGTCCACGGCGGCTAGGATGGCGGCCTCGGTGCTGTGAGTGTTAAGGTTGAACTCCTGCACTGTGTTGGTTGAGTACTGCAGAACGCCGACCTGTACCGCGTTTGGTCCAATGTCAAATTTCCTCACCAAAGACTTGATGAATTGTAGTTGTTTGGCAAAGTCGGGTGCGTTGACACTACCAGACCCGTCCAAGATAAAAATTATGTCTGCCTGGGCGTTGCAAACTGTAAATATAACAAAGTTTATTATTTTACACACACACACACACAAAAAAAAAATAATAATAATAATCATAATCATAATAATAATAATAATAATAACAAAAAGTCGGAAAACATGTCACACTTGATAGTTTGGGGTGGATTTATTTCCATACAATCTCATTGTATAATGCCACAAGAGACCCTGCGAATAAACTATGTGCTCTGTCAAATATGTCACTTGTTGTTCACAATTGCTTTCTTGGTTTCTACTAACAAGCTAGAAGAAAAAATAACAAACCCGGTGGACTACTCAAAAATCGAATCAAGATATCACCATCATACAAATAACTCTGCCTAAAGGGATATTAACTCTTCGTATGAGATATACCCTGTATATTTCAAAAAAAAAAAAAAAAAAAAAAAACATTGTGAACAACTCACAGAAATATGATATATTCTGTTTTACCACAAAAACGGCAGTTAAAGCTTTTATTCTGATATCTGAACTTGTCTTTAGAACACGTGACCTCCATTGATGGCTATATTCTGTTAAAATATCTTAAAAGATAAAAAAAAAACATTTTAGAAAAATAAACAGGAACTAACGAACTAACTTTGAATGTGGAACTAACTTTGAAATGGATTCATTAACCATTGATTAGTATAGGGAAATTGTTGTTTACTCCAGGAAATTCATTTTTTGGCCACAACGAAGAGTTATTATCCCTTTAAGACAAGAGGATGATGCCCTGCATATTTATTGCAAAGAAAGAAAGATAGAGAGAGGGAGGGGCGGTGGTGGTTATTATTTTATAAAATGGAGCAAATAAATCACGATTTTATACACAATATCAGCTAAAATTGACCGTAAATTACCAAAATAAAATTTGATAAATATCCACATGTATATCACCTAACTAGAGGTAAACTGTATTATCATGATCAGTTTAAAGGGATAATGACTCTTCATATGAGATCTATATTTCACAATAAAAACATTGTGAATAACTCATAGAAATATAATATATTCCATTTTACCACAAAAAACAGCAGTTATAGCTATTATTCTGATATCTGAACTTGTCTTCAGATCACGTGACCTCCACATATGAATATACTCTAAAAAAAAACAAACTTTTTAGAAAAAAAAACAGGGACTAACTTTGAATGTAAAAATGGATTCACTTAACCATTGGTAAGTATGAGAAAATTGTTGTTTACTCCAGGAAAATTCATTTTTTGGCCGAAACGAAGAGTTATTATCACTTTAACTATATGTACTTCACTAAATATAGTGTCTATATCATTGATATAATACACCCAATAATTAAAGTATATAATAAACCTGTACATACTTGGTGTTACCGATTCGTTTGTGGGGCTTTCGGTAGTTGGCCACCCTGGAGTTGAAAAAAATGATACACATTATTTGACACACATTGGATTGCATCAGCATAAAAGTATATTTTCGTGTATGATATATTTCAGTGCGTTAATATAGACACCGATGTTAGATAACACGGCAACAACTTACCAGATGCACTTCCTCGTATGAATTACAGATATGATGTGATACGCTAGCGGTTTGAAACGTTACATACCATAATATTCACATCTCTCCCCATATCTATCCCAGGGACATGTACAGTTGTAGTCCACATAGTTATAAGGCCAGTAATAATANAGACGGGGGGAGGGGGGGGGGGGGTACTCCAAACACGACGAATTCGTACTGTTACGCAACATATTGTTATTATGCAGAATTAGAAAAATAACCAGAATATCATTTGCAGATAAATTATGTCGGCTTTTTTTTTCACTCGCTAGACAGCCATTACCCTGGTAACGGTTGACAACTGGAGTTATACGAGAATCACTGTAAAAAACCGTTTTAAGACAATCCATGCCATAACCAGAGTCTTAACTATATGCACTTGGCTAAATATGGCGTCTATATATTTGATTTGATACGCTCAATAATTAAGGTATTAGACCCGGACATGTGCAATTGTAGTCCACATAGTCACAGGGCCAGTAATAACATCTTTTTGGGACACACTTGCCTCCGTAATAACATGGGTAGGAAGAGCAAGGATCTGTTAAAATACACACATATGTAGACAAATAAATAAATAAATAAATAAATAAATAAATAAATAGTATTTTATGGGATAGATGCACTTCCCTAAAATGAAAAGGGTAGTTTTCCATATTATACATACAGTACACACACAAAAACCTTTGATATCTACAAATAAACGTAGAGCACACATACCATAGCTTGAAGAAGTAGTTTCGGATGCCTCAGTGGTACCTTTAAAAGAAGATAGAATGATAAAACATAACATTAAGAATGATGTGCAATAAAGTTCAATATATATTTATTAAATCAGGTAAGGGTAATTATACGTCTTCCCTGTACAGATGTCTTAGAATTTAACAAAAACGCTGAAACCCTCTAATGTACCCTGAGATGGATGTTTTTGGAACATTTGAAAAAGTATATCATGCAGTACAACGGACAAATGCCATCGTCTGGAATAGAAATACATACAACTACCTCCCCTGTCATATACGAATTCTTAAATAACAGTTACAGTATTTATCATTATAAAACACTTTTCTCCATCATCATAAGGATATATATGAGTTAATTGATGGTATTTTTAGGTTCTTGTAAGAAGGTCATGCTAAAACCGATTTCCATCTTTACGCGTATATATTATTGTATAATTCTCATAAACCAACAAACGTGTTTGAAAAATAGGACATGGAGGTATCTTTTGGGTGTCTGCAGTCGTTGGTCACCATGTCGCACATATGAAAGCAGTATGCCTGAGTGAATTCCAAAAAAAAAAAAAAAAATCAGCTACCAAACAATAATCCTGGCTGGTTGGACTCGTGAACCTTGGCAACCCAGCTAGGTTAAGGGAAACACTGATTCCAAACTCCCGCTGCCTTCACGGCGATACCCCTAGAGGACAAACCAAGAACTTGGGTCCCGCAGGTAGCTCAAACATGGATACAGCTTGCACGGGGTGAGGGGGGGGGGGGAGAGGGGGGACGCGCTCCCTTCATTATCAAGACGTACCTAACCGTCAGAGCCGGATACTGGTTTGTAACCTTCAGGGGCAATAAGGGCTTGGCCTTTGTGGCATGCCTTTTGATAGATTTTGCTTCCAAGCATTTTTGCCCATAGTCGGTCCACCACACTTGGAATTTTTTTATTTTTTGACAAGTATTCATACGTCATCATAGTTTGTGTTCAAGACTACATACTTGCATCTACTAGTACCTCCTGTGACTTCATTAGTTACGTTCCCACAGTTTATAGTCATCTCTGGGTTGAACCTACTGTGATGGTGCTGGAAACTTCTATATTAGCTATTTTCTGTCCACTGGGCCTTTCCGGTAACGTGAAGAGGGAATCATAGCGCAAAGTACTACACGTGTTTTTGGTCTATGGAGAGGTCACTCCAACCTTGTTTGCTCGCTGTTATGGGAGGACAGTACTATGAACAGAAATGCTTGAAAGCAATCTCTGTCAAAAGGTATCACTGCTTGTGAATTGCTAAATGGCATTAAAGGCTGAGGAAAAGATATTTAACCATTCCCAAGCACAGAATAGAAGAACAGAGTTTTGCTTTAAGTGTCTGCACTGTGGCAGAGACTGCCGCTTCCGTATTGGGATTTTCAGCCATACTTGGAGTTGTTATATCAGGACGACTGATCCAACGCAAAACGCAAATCAATGGTCTTTCAAGACGAAGGTGCCAGCGAGCCAACATTAATTGTAGTCAAAGCTATTCAAAGCGTTTATAACCCACATCCCACGTGGATAGATAAAGTGCACTTACCGTACTGGGAAGATCCCGGACAGCTTCTTGTGTAGGAGTACCCACAAGACACCCCGGCATCTTCATGGTGTCCACAGTTGTGACTACCCCAACCATAGTGACCACATGCTGATATCGAATGTTCTCCTCCACTGCAACGGACATCATCCAGCCAAATCTGCCCATTGCCCTGGCCATAGCAGGCAGACTGGTATGCCTTTGCATAACGATCGCTAAAATGTAATTAAACAAGACACGTACAATGTATGTGCATAACGTCATGTAATTCACACTGACAGTGGGATTTTATGATTTTCTTTATTCTTCGGGTTGCAGGTTAAAGATACATAATTAATGAGGGAACCTGTCTGCGTCTGCAATTAGAATGTAGCTCTATTTCGAATATGTTTTTTATCTGAAGTGTAGTTCATTGCATGTCCTACTTAAGTCAAAAGTTAATTGCATCGACTAACCCTCGACAATATAGGTGCATTTATGTATGTATTTTCTCGTTTTACAAAAGCCTGTAGTAATACATATCAAATATAACAGAAAGGTCAATGTACATAATAATGTTTATAGGCAAACATATTTATCATTGTCCGTACCCAAACCCAAGCATGCGACATATGACCCTAGCGTCATTATCGTCAAAGCTGTCGTCACACACAGTGCCCCAGCGGCCATTGTAGTAAACCTCCACACGTCCCTATCTGTTGCTGTAGCCTCCGACTAAACGAACTAGGACGGCTGCAATAACAATAATTTTTATTAAACCGTTTTAAGACAATCCATGCCATAACCAGAGTCTTAACTATATGCACTTGGCTAAATGTGGCGTCTATATATTTGATTTGATACGCTCAATAATTAAGGTATTAGACCCGGACATGTGCAATTGTAGTCCACATAGTCATAGGGTCAGTAATAACATCTTTTTGGGACACACGTGCCTCCGTAATAACATGGGTAGGAAGAGCAAGGATCTGTTAAAATACACACATATGTAGACAAATAAATAAATAAATAAATAAATAAATAAATAAGTAAATAAATAAATAAATAGTATTTTATGGGATAGATGCACTTCCTTAAAATGAAAAGGGTAGTTTACCATATTATACATACAGTACACACACAAAAACCTTTGATATCTACAAATAAACGTAAAGCACACATACCATAGCTTGAAGAAGTAGTTTCGGATGCCTCAGTGGTACCTTTAAAAGAAGATAGAATGATAAAACAAAACATTAAGAATGATGTGCAAAAAAGTTCAATATATATTTATTAAATTATGTAAGGGTAATTATACGTCTTCCCTGTACAGATGTCTTGGAATTTAACAAAAACGCTGAAACCCTCTAATGTACCCTGAGATGGATATTTTTGGAACATTTGAAAAAGTATATCATGCAGTACAACGGACAAATGCAATCGTCTGGAATAGAAATACATACAACTACCTCCCCTGTCATATACGAATTCTTAAATAACAGTTACAGTATTTATCATTATAAAACACTTTTCTCCATCATCATAAGGATATATATGAGTTAATTGATGGTATTTTTAGGTTCTTGTAAGAAGGTCATGCTAAAAGCGATTTCCATCTTTACGTGTATATATTATTGTATAATTCTCATAAACCAACAAACGTGTTTGAAAAATAGGACATGGAGGTATCTTTTGGGTTTCTGCAGTCGTTGGTCACCATGCCGCACATTTGAAAGCAGTATGCCTGAGTGAATTACAAAAAAAAAAAAAAAAAAAAAAAAAAAAAAAAAAAAAAAAAAAAAAAAAAAAAAAAAAAAAAAAAAACAAAAAAAAAANCCAAACTCCCGCTGACTTCACGGCGATACCCCTAGAGGACAAAATAAGAACTTGGGTCCCGCAGGTAGCTCAAACATGGATACAGCTTGCACAGGGGGTTGGGGGGAGGGGGGACGCGCTCCCTTCATTATCAAGACGTACCTAACCGTCAGAGCCGGATATTGGTTTGTAACCTTCGGGGGGCAATAAGGGCTTGGCCTTTGTGGCATGCCTTTTGATAGATTTTGTTTCCAAGCATTTTTGCCCATAGTCGGTCCACCACACTTGGATTTTTTTTTTTTTTTTGACAAGTATTCATACGTCATCATAGTTTGTGTTCAAGACTACATACTTGCATCTACTAGTACCTCCTGTGACCTTATTAGTTACGTTCCCACAGTTTATAGTCATCTCTGGGTTGAACCTACTGTGATGTCGCTGGAACCTTCTATATTAGCTATTTTCTGTCCACTGGGCCTTTCCGGTTACGTGGAGAGGGAATCATAGCGCAAAGTACTACACGTGTTTTTGGTCTATGGAGAGGTCACTCCAACCTTGTTTGCTCGCTGTTATGGGAGGACAGTACTATGAACAGAAATGCTTGAAAGCAATCTTTGTCAAAAGGTATCACTGCTTGTGAATTGCTAAATGGCATTAAAAGCTGAGGAAAAGATATTTAACCATTCCCAAGCACAGAATAGAAGAACAGAGTTTTGCTTTAAGTGTCTGCACTGTGGCAGAGACTGCCGCTTCCGTATTGGGATTTTCAGCCATACTTGGTGCTGTTATATCAGGACAACCGAACCAACGCAAAACGCAAATCAGTGGTCTTTCAAGACGAAGGTGCCAGCGAGCCAACATTAATTGTAGTCAAAGCTATTCAAAACGTTTATAACCCACATCCCACATGGATAGATAAAGTGCACTAACCGTACTGGGAAGATCCCGGACAGCTTCTTGTGTAGGAGTACCCACAAGACACCCCGGCATCTTCATGGTGTCCACAGTTGTGCCTACCCCAACCATAGTGACCACATGCTGATATCGAATGTTCTCCTCCACTGCAACGGACATCATCCAGCCAAATCTGCCCATTGCCCTGGCCATAGCAGGCAGACTGGTATGCCTTTGCATAACGATCGCTAAAATGTAATTAAACAAGACACGTACAATGTATGTGCATAACGTCATGTAATTCACACTGACAGTGGGATTTTATGATTTTCTTTATTCTTCGGGTTGCAGGTTAAAGATGCATAATTAATGAGGGAACCTGTCTGCGTCTGCAATTAGAATGTAGCTCTATTTCGAATATGTTTTTTATCTGAAGTGTAGTTCATTGCATGTCCTACTTAAGTCAAAAGTTAATTGCATCGACTTACCCTCGACAATATAGGTGCATTTATGTATGTATTTTCTCGTTTTACAAAAGCCTGTAGTAATACATATCAAATATAACAGAAAGGTCAATGTACATAATAATGTTTATAGGCAAACATATTTATCATTGTCCGTACCCAAACCCAAGCATGCGACATATGACCCTAGCGTCATTATCGTCAAAGCTGTCGTCACACACAGTGCCCCAGCGGCCATTGTAGTAAACCTCCACACGTCCCTCTCTGTTGCTGTAGCCTCCGACTAAACGAACTAGGACAGCTGCAATAACAATAATTTTTATTAAACCGTTTTAAGACAATCCATGCCATAACCAGAGTCTTAACTATATGCACTTGGCTAAATGTGGCGTCTATATATTTGATTTGATACGCTCAATAATTAAGGTATTAGACCCGGACATGTGCAATTGTAGTCCACATAGTCATAGGGTCAGTAATAACATCTTTTTGGGACACACGTGCCTCCGTAATAACATGGGTAGGAAGAGCAAGGATCTGTTAAAATACACACATATGTAGACAAATAAATAAATAAATAAATAAATAAATAAATAAATAAATAAATAAATAAATAAGTAAATAAATAAATAAATAGTATTTTATGGGATAGATGCACTTCCTTAAAATGAAAAGGGTAGTTTTCCATAGTATACATACAGTACACACACAAAAACCTTTGATATCTACAAATAAACGTAGAGCAGACATACCATAGCTTGAAGAAGTAGTTTCGGATGCCTCAGTGGTACCTTTAAAAGAAGATAGAATGATAAAACACAACATTAAGAATGATGTGCAAAAAAGTTCAATATATATTTATTAAATTATGTAAGGGTAATTATACTTCTTCCCTGTACAGATGTCTTAGAATTTAACAAAAACGCCGAAACCCTCTAATGTACCCAGAGATGGATGTTTTTGGAACATTTGAAAAAGTATATCATGCAGTACAACGGACAAATGCCATCGTCTGGAATAGAAATACATACAACTACCTCCCCTGTCATATACGAATTCTTAAATAACAGTTACAGTATTTATCATTATAAAACACTTTTCTCCATCATCATAAGGATATATATGAGTTAATTGATGGTATTTTTAGGTTCTTGTAAGAAGGTCGTGCTAAAAGCGATTTCCATCTTTACGTGTATATATTATTGTATAATTCTCATAAACCAACAAACGTGTTTGAAAAATAGGACATGGAGGTATCTTTTGGGTGTCTGCAGTCGTTGGTCACCATGTCGCACATATGAAAGCAGTATGCCTGAGTGAATTCCAAAAAAAAAAAAAAAAATCAGCTACCAAACAATAATCCTGGCCGGTTGGACTCGTGAACCTTGGCAACCCAGCTAGGTTAAGGGAAACACTGATTCCAAACTCCCGCTGACTTCACGGCGATACCCCTAGAGGACAAAATAAGAACTTGGGTCCCGCAGGTAGCTCAAACATGGATACAGCTTGCACAGGGGGTTGGGGGGAGGGGGGACGCGCTCCCTTCATTATCAAGACGTACCTAACCGTCAGAGCCGGATATTGGTTTGTAACCTTCAGGGGCAATAAGGGCTTGGCCTTTGTGGCATGCCTTTTGATAGATTTTCCTTCCAAGCATTTTTGCCCATAGTCGGTCCACCACACTTGGAATTTTTTATTTTTTGACAAGTATTCATACGTCATCATAGTTTGTGTTCAAGACTACATACTTGCATCTACATGTACTAGTACCTCCTGTGACTTCATTAGTTACGTTCCCACAGTTTATAGTCATCTCTGGGTTGAACCTACTGTGATGGTGCTGGAACCTTCTATATTAGCTATTTTCTGTCCACTGGGCCTTTCCGGTTACGTGAAGAGGGAATCATAGCGCAAAGTACTACACGTGTTTTTGGTCTATGGAGAGGTCACTCCAACCTTGTTTGCTCGCTGTTATGGGAGGACAGTACTATGAACAGAAATGCTTGAAAGCAATCTCTGTCAAAAGGTATCACTGCTTGTGAATTGCTAAATGGCATTAAAAGCTGAGGAAAAGATATTTAACCATTCCCAAGCACAGAATAGAAGAACAGAGTTTTGCTTTAAGTGTCTGCACTGTGGCAGAGACTGCCGCTTCCGTATTGGGATTTTCAGCCATACTTGGTGCTGTTATATCAGGACAACTGATCCAACGCAAAACGCAAATCAATGGTCTTTCAAGACGAAGGTGCCAGCGAGCCAACATTAATTGTAGTCAAAGCTATTCAAAGCAATTATAACCCACATCCCACATGGATAGATAAAGTGCACTAACCGTACTGGGAAGATCCCGGACAGCTTCTTGTGTAGGAGTACCCACAAGACACCCCGGCATCTTCATGGTGTCCACAGTTGTGCCTACCCCAACCATAGTGACCACATGCTGATATCGAATGTTCTCCTCCACTGCAACGGACATCATCCAGCCAAATCTGCCCATTGCCCTGGCCATAGCAGGCAGACTGGTATGCCTTTGCATAACGATCGCTAAAATGTAATTAAACAAGACACGTACAATGTATGTGCATAACGTCATGTAATTCACACTGACAGTGGGATTTTATGATTTTCTTTATTCTTCGGGTTGCAGGTTAAAGATGCATAATTAATGAGGGAACCTGTCTGCGTCTGCAATTAGAATGTAGCTCTATTTCCAATATGTTTTTTCTTATCTAAAGTGTAGTTCATTGCATGTCCTACTTAAGTCAAAAGTTACATGCATCGACTTACCCTCGACAATATAGGTGCATTTATGTATATATTTTCTCGTTTTACAAAAGCCTGTAGTAATACATATCAAATATAACAGAAAGGTCAATGTACATAATAATGTTTATAGGCAAAAATATTTATCATTGTCCGTACCCAAACCCAAGCATGCGACATATGACCCTAGCGTCAGTATCGTCAAAGCTGTCATCACACACAGTGCCCCAGCGGCCATTGTAGTAAACCTCCACACGTCCCTCTCTGTTGCTGTAGCCTACGACTAAACGAACTGGGACGGCTGCAATAACAATAATTTTATTAAACCGTTTTAAGACAATCCATGCCATAACCAAAGTCATGAGTATATGCACTTTGTTAAATATGCTGTCTATATTATTGATTTGATACGCCCAATAACTAAGGTATATAAAAAAAAAAACCTGTACATACTTGATGTTACCGATTCTGTCGTGGGACCTTCGGTAGTTTGCCACCCTGGAGTTGAAAACAATGGTACATATTATTTGACAAACATTGGATTGCATCAGCATAAAGGTATGTTTTCGGGTATGTTGTTTTTCAGGGACGGTTTTGTCAAAGGTTTCCTGGCACTATTTACCTTTACATGCGTCAATGTCGACACTGATGTTAGATAAGACGGCGACAACTTACACGAGGCACTTTCTCATATGAATTATGTGTAAAGCATAAGTAAATATGATGTGATATGATATAAATAGTGAAGCGTTACATACCGTAATATTCACATCTCTTCCCGTATCTCGCCCAGGGGCATGTGCAGTTGTAGTCCACATAGTTATAAGGCCAGTAGTAAGATCTTTGTGGGACACATGTACCTCCATTGTAACATGGATTGTACGAGCAAGGGTCTGTTAGAAGAAGTGAAACACATGAGTTTAACACATTCAAATAAACAATTAAGAGCCTCATAAAAATCAACAAAACAAACACACAATCAGCATTCAAAACTTCTGTACTAATGTAATTAAACGGACTGGAACAACCAGTGAGAACAGTTTGCCTTAATAAACTTCGTGTCTTATCAATGTCCCTTCACTAAATAGTTCATAACATCAAACAAACGACCTCCATCCCGCATCAAAGCACCGAGTAGCTTCAGGAAACACCCATCTCCTCAACGAAATTAAGTTTACAGCTATTTACTTGCACGATAGAACATGTATTTTTTTTACATTTGCATTTTCTAAGAACTCCTAATTAATATTGTAATTTTAACTTGTACAGGAACATACTCGGTGGAGAAACCGTTTCTATTGTAGGGCTTTCAGAAGTTGGCCAACCTGGGAATAAAAAGAGGCATGTGTAAATCGCTATAAGTGACAACTTACACTTTTTTTAAATTATAATAATAGAAAAGGAAAAAAAAAAAAACATAGCACGCATACATTAATAGGAATTTCGCACAACAGTCCACTGCTCGCAGGTTTGTTAGTTTTCAAGAATTTAGTCTAGACATATTATTGTTCTCTTATTTTCTGTATTATCATATTGATACATATAGTACTGTTAGTATCCGCGTCTCTTACTGTGGAGTCCAAAAAAAAAAAAACTCTACAATACAGGTAATATAAAGTGTTGCTTCAACGTTTACAAAAAAGTGAAAATTAAGGTGATGATAACAAACCGGACAAGAATAGTAAGGTCCAGGTAAAAGAAAAAGAACCCATAGTGGGGAAAATACAGTGTGCCTGCTTCACAATAAAGCTCTTTAGTGGTAGGAATCGAGTTCCTGGTCTCTAAATTCAAACCCAGTAGTACTTTTTACAAGTCAAAAATCAGAAACGTTACGTTCACTTACTCGTAGTATAATTGTAGTTGGTACAGGAGCGTCTGTATGAAAAACCACAAGATACCCCGACGTCCTCGCTATGTGAACAGTGGGAATTACCCCCAGCCGTATCCCTTATAGCACTGAGCTAAGGAGGATTCAGTCCCTTGACAGTGCAGGTGATTCAGCCAGATCATGCCGCTACCTTCACCAAAACAGGCGCCGCCATAAGCTTTGGCATATCGGTCACTAGAAAAGGATGGATACAGATATTGGTTAATCAAAGTAAGGTTATTTTATTATAAGATGATGTGTTATTCCATAATGATGAAACTTAAAACTGTTCAAGTTCTACACAATGAGCTGAATGCGTACCTGAGAGCTATCGCTCCAACACATTTCAACTCAACTGAACAGTTTTCAATCACAACATTACGAGCAACACTGCAACACAGATGAACTTTCATTTTAAAAAAAAAAAAAAAAAAAAAAAAAAAAAAAAAAAAAAAAAAAAAACGATTGTTAGATATCAAGAATACAGACATTAACGATGCTTCAGATGTAAAAAATACCCATGTCCAAGCATGCGGCATACAACTCGAGCATCATTATCATCAAACTCGTGGTCACATATCGTTCCCCAGCGTCCGTCGTAGTAGACCATTACTCGCCCTTCCCGGTAACTGTTTCCACCAACTAAACGCACTCCTGTAAGATATTGGAAATAGTACAGAAATGCAATATGTTATGAGATATTCATTTAAAAAAGTAAAATATAAAACGCAATGCTAACAATCATGCTGTACATTTATTAATCAAAATAAAAACCTAACCAGCGAGACAAAGGAAACAATGGAGGATTTACTCACCGACATAATCTTCCGTCGTCAAATTGGGGATTTCTGTAGTTTCTGAAAAAGCATAATATTTAGAAATAGACCAATTGCAAATATAACAATTTGATTTACTACTTGTTGCTATCAGTAAAGTGTCTTTCCTTTATTTACAAGAGTCAACGTACATATATTTACCTGAGGCAAGTCAGGAGTGTCGTGCAAAAACTTACAGAAACGATTTGCAAATAAAGACGTATTGCATCGTTCAAATAAGGAACTTACAAAGGAACAACACTGGAAATTAGTATGCTACTAAAAATGAATGTGCGCATTCGAATTGTAGAATCTATAGACTAAGAATCGTATTATCCCCCCCCCCTTTTTTTTTTTTTTTTTTGAGGGGGGGGGGGTAAATAAAGGGACACATACTAGCAAATGCTGATCGTTCCAAGCGTGTTTTACTCACTTAATCTTTTCTGACGCAGTGAGTAAATTGATTTATCATTGTTGGTTGACTTTTTCCCTTACAGTAACCAAATTAATTTACATCAGCCTTATAAATAGGTTGTCCTGGAATTACCTCAAAAGGGAAATATGCCTACAGGCTATAGTTTTCTAAAACGTGCAGCCAAGGAAGAAACCGGTACATTATTCGTTAAGCACTTTATATATACATGTATATGACAGCAATTTTGTGTGATCCCCCGGGGAGTTAGCCCGATCCAAATGGATTGATCTAAATCTGTGAGAACCCATTCTTAAACTATATGAATGATTTTTAGTTAAGAAAAATGATAATTATCTGAAGAAAATGATCACGAGTAAGTGAAATGAAACTAAAATTGAGAATGATTAGCTACGCGCAGTATGGAATTAGATCATGCTTACCTGCCTGCCCAGACAGCAAAATGACAACGATCAAGAAAAATGTTGTCTGCATCATTTCACATCCTTAACAGTAATGAGATGTCGTGTTTCACTGGGTGAAGGAACGCTCTGGAGGGGAGGGTCACAACCCGGCACAAAAAATGTACCTTACTTCATTATATACAACTCCTCACCATCGACGTCAGAGGGAAAGTCGCTCACTCCAGTACAAGTGCAAATAAAATAAGCAATTAAGTATAAACACGTAATTCATAACTCGCTTTGAACGACTCGGATACAGCCCCTCTCTGTTACCCCCAGCTAAATATACCCTTCCCCCTTGGAGGTGAAACCTTATCGAAAGAGATGTTGATTTTTCGAGAATAACCAACATGGAAGATAAGAGACACTTCTCTGATTAATATTTCGACAAATAACTTATTGACATGGCGGGATAATTGAGTAAAAGTTCCTTTCCTTATTTACAGTACTACAGGTACGTCTCTGCGCGGTTCTATGATTTCCAGTACAAAAGTAAAAGTTCTTACATACCGCACTATACATGCGTCTCAGCGGGTTTTACAAACCCCTGGTCATTTTTGGCCCTGGTACAGTCTAGGTTTTGATGGGGGAGGGTACAGCCCAATATGCTGTATGAAACGCTGCAAACTACCAAGCGAACAGACATCTTTCGCTGCCTGACCAGGAACTTTACCCCTGCTTCAACCCCTCAGTTCTGAATGCCAGGCGGGGAGACAGCAGGTAACCGTATATAAAGGACTGGAATGCTCCCCGGATGGGGTCAAACCCTCGTCCTCCCGCTCCGGGGGCTGACGCTCTAACCAAAAATCTAAATTTTTTACCAATGTTGTGTGGGTTACATTGTACAAGTGGCAAAATAGTCTAATTTATTGTAACAATTGTCAGATGTGAAAGTTACTATTTACATGTACAAAGTGCACTTTATTCAGATTCCTTGCCTCGTTTATGTATTGTGTCAGGATTATCTTAAACTATGGGTGTGAGCCCGTGTAGACCGCGTAGTACTAAACACTGCTTCTAAGAATATGCATCATTCTCGTTAGGAACATTTACTTTTAAATAATAATCATGCTGCTAAAGAAACAGTGACAATGTTGGGGTTTTATTTTCTTGTCACCAGTTCACTAGGAAAATGGATATCATTTGAAAAACCGAAATGAATTTAAAATCAAGAGTTGTGACAGCAAGTGTTGTAAAACTAGCAACCAGTCGTGATCAAGTCATATTTACACGCATCTGCTGGATTGTCATTTGTTGGTTTTGGATATGATTTCAATTTTATCATGAGCTCAACAAGAGGCATGTTGGTGCAATCATTTAGATATATAATTACAAAAAAATGACACTTTAAGAATTGGCGCGCCAATTTTAATTGGCGCGCCCTGCCTTCCACGTATTGGTTACTCTTCTCTTCTACGATATATATATATATATTAACGACCTAGTTATATAGGCGTTATATAATTATACTGTTAGCTATCAATTTCTGTCACCGGAAATGTTATCTTGAGTTACATGTATTTATTGCATATTTTATTGCATATATATATATTAACGACCTAGTTATATAGGCGTTATATAATTATACTGTTGGCTATCAATTTCTGTCACCGAAAATGTTATCTTGTGGTATTTATTGCATATTTTTGGGTTATTCCTTTAAGGGTTGAATAAAATGTTTCAATTAAGAAACACTTTTTTGCTTATTTTCCTATTTTACTTCATTTATCTATTTATT